ATTCTATGTAAAGTTTGTGATATTGCCCTTGTGGGGAATCCATGTACTATTTCTCTTGTTTAATTGCACAACATTGTAGATGCAGTTACAATATCTTAGTCCCAAACCAAGCCCATAAAAACTTTTGTTGCAGCTTTAACAATGAAACGAAAACCTCCATTGCAGTTAGCAAGTTATTGAATTTCTTTTAGCCAAAAAAAAAGAGAGAAAAGAAAGAAAGACATAAAATATCTTATCCTTTTAGAAATTAAACCAATTTCGATATCCAACACTAGCTTCAGGCTTGTGATATATTGGCTGTCCCTGTTTCAACAGTTGCTTCTAGCTTCATTTAGTGTTGGTAGTAAAGTTCTTGATCCATTTCGTAGCTCACTTAAACCGAAGACAGTTGAAGCACTTGTTTATACTAGAGATTGGTTATATGGTGACAAAGGTTTCAAACTAATTTAATTTATTTATATTTTCTTAACTTGATTTTGAACTAAACTTTATATATATATATATATATGTGTGTGTGTGTATTTTTTTTCGTGTAGATTTCAATGAAGGGGTAGAGAATCTCACACAAGATATCTTTAACTTTTCATTGAAAGATGAGGAGCCTTTCTACTCCGCCATTGCAGCAAATTATTTAACTATTTAATGATGAATCATGTATGTTTATTTTCTATTTTGTAAGAGAGTATTATGTGTTTGTTTTAATTTGAACTTAGATTATTTAATGTCTCTTCAACATGTTAAATAGGTTGAGAAACAAATCTTTAAGTACAAACAGGTTGAGAAACATGTTTTATTGCTAATTAGGTTAAGAAACATGTTGAAAAATAGGTTCATAAATAGGTTAACACGATCCATTTATCACCCATTTTATAAATGAGTTAGCAAGTAAAAAACAGGTTGACATGACATGTTTATGACATTTTAATAAACGGGTCGGTTCGTGTTAGGCCTAACCGTGTCAACTGAGGGGGTCAACATGACACGCCAACACGAATTGCCACCCCTAATGATTATAAAAACCTTAAAAGAATCATATTTAGCTTTGTTTGGTTCGCCGTTCAAATTGGAAAATTTGGTTTGAAATGTGGTGATTTAAATTGTGATTCGAACCAGTATTTGGATATGCATATAATTTGTAATTTGAATTAGAAATAAAATCTGAAATGTGTTTGGATAAAGTGTTAAAAACTGTCATTAGAGTTTTATAACAAATCTTATAAACCCTCATTGTAAACGACATTAAAAAATATGCAATATGGATGATAATTCGTTCTTCTCTTCATTATGAATACATTGAAAAAATAATCATCTCAATCGGAATTGACACGAATAAATTATGACCTTTTTAAACTTAAAGTTGAGGGGAGAGAAAATGTAAAATCCGAATTGTTTTTATTGTAAGAAACTACCCGGATTGGGAATTTAGAGGGGAAGGGTCAATTATGAAATTAAAGATTTGTAACATTGTTAATGGTTTGAATTTTTCTCATTTAGTGTTCTACCAAACATTAATTTAAACCTCTAACTTGGTTCGGATTGTTGAAACAAATAACATAAAAAAAACATTTTTCCTCGATAAAGGAGTTAACTAAATCTGATTTGGGAGAAAACAAATTTCGAATTGTAGAAACACCAACAGAATCGATAACTCTTCCTAAATGCTGTAAAAGAACAATTCAAAGGGCGAATCACATAACCTCAGATGTAAATTCTTCAGATGGACCAGGACCTGTAGCTTCAAACACAGCTTCCCTTTCTAGCTCCTTGTCTTACTCAAAGCTAGATCATGCGTAGATCATGAGTAGAAACCAAGCCCTCCTTAGAGAAGAAAAATAACCAGCAAGACTTGTGCTCCCACAATTAAGCTAATTAAGAACTAAAAATTAGCAGACGACCTAGCCATCCCCTATTACATTAACCAACTCAGCCTCCAACTCATGAATGCACAACCAACAATGTAAAAATGTCATGCTGCGATATATCTATCTCCGAAAAGTGTCATTGTATTTCAAGAGTTTATTTATTCACTTATAAACACTTTTTCTTATATTTAGAGTCAAAATAACTTCAAATGCTCTAAACCATTAATCGTTAAACCATATATTAATTTCTAACTCGAAACTATATTCTTTATGAAAATAGTAAATTGGCAGATTTGTCGACCTAGACAAAAAAGTAATAAGACATTTATTTATCTCCAAAAATTACAAAATCAACTCCAAAAAAAAAAAAAAAAGTAGACACTCCAACGAGCTATCACACACCTTAATCTGAGCTCTCTAAGAGCATCTCTAAGGATGCCCTCTAAATTTTAGTTAAATTTTAATTAAAATAGCTAATTCACAATTTTTACATGATCAACTCCAACCATACTCGCTATTTTAACTAAATATAGATTATTTTAATATTTATTGAATTTAAAGTATAAATAATTTTATTGAATTTAAAAAAGAACTTTTACATTTATTGTGGTTTGTAAGCATAAACAATAGAAAACAAAAAAAACAAAAACAAAAACAAAAAAAAAAAACAAATGTCTAGCCTCTTCTTGCTAGCTATATTTAGTTAGTATGAAATGTGTTCTCTAAAATACCTAAAATATTTAGTTAATGGTTGGGGTGGTAAAAGCTAAAAAAAAGTTAAACCATTAGCCATTTTAGCTAAGTACATAAAATAGACAACATGGTTAGAGATGCTCTAAGTACCTCGAAATTAGTTTTCAAAAATTAAAATTCTGATTTTCCTGATTTTGACAATTTTTGGAAAATTTGTATATGGAAGTTCAAATGTACACAACTTAGGCTATAAAACTGCAAATGAGGCGATTCCAAATGCCACGTATCACTAATAACATGTTCTAAGAGGCACTAATGATGGTTTAAATGCAACAACTATAAATCAAAATGTGCGGGTCTCAGTTCCTATTTTACTGATTCTTAGAAAAAGCGACTTTGACGACTGTTACAGAAAGAATCATAAAATATTCTATACAGCCTCAAAAATTACAAAATCAGTTCCTATTTGAATTAGGCATCTAGGACTTTCCAAAGAGCTATCACAAGCTTGCTTTCGAGTCCGTTATGGTCTCTAAAAACAAGATAAACCATATTTGCTGGTTTTTCTGCAGAATTCCTAATGATTTGCTTGACTCCAAAAATACATATCTTAGGCTACAATTATCCCTTTAAGGCGATTCTCGTTGCTATTTGAAGCTTAGGACACCTAATTATATATTCTAACAAGGCCAACCTCAAAAACGTATTGAATAAATACAGCTTTTAGTTTAACCACAAACAACTGCTATGCAATCCTCACAAACTTGCCATTTTATTTCTATGATGCTAATTCATGCTTTACCCACCAAATAAGTTTCTACATTCACATACATTTTCCATTATCATCTCCAAAGTACATGGGCAAATTAGGAATTATTAAGTAATTGAGTCAAGGCCACTCTTATCACGTAGAGATGTTGGTTGACTAAATCATAGATATCTCACCTCAAGGTCAACATTACTAAGGTTGAAAGGCCTATCCACCGTGGCTGTACAAGCATCAATGAACTTAGAGGAAAGACCTAATTGACTTACACTATAATTAAATATTCATTAGGTTTGCTCTAATTATTAACCTTAGTAATCTAAATCTTCAAGACATGGGGAAAAGAATGTAGCATAGTTTTAAATTCAGATTTTTTTCCTCCAAACCATTATAAACAAATTTAGCATGAGATTACAACAAGACAAAAAACCAATAATGTTACTAGGCTACGTTTCCACCATTTATCAGCTCAATCAACATAGAGAGAAGCTGTAAAACCCGAGAAAATCTTAAAATAGGAATTCTTAAATTGTAAAATTTAATTTAGGATTTTTCTTGTGACAACGTAATTACCTTTATAATGAAATGTAAACTTCCATATCAGCGAGATCTCACATGGTAGGCCAATGAGATGGTACATGTATTGAGCATAATCATCATTATGGTTAACTGTGATCAAGTTATGTTTGAAATTATGAACTAGCATGAATTTTGAAGGTTTAAAGTGTCTTGATGACTTTCTTCAAGGATCTAAATCGGAGAGCATTATAAATGAGAATTTCTAGACATATAACTTATAGAAATTTAGACATTAATTATAATTCCTGTTATATGGACATTGTTTGATGATTGTTTAAGTTATTTCATGAATATTTAAACCCACCGATTGCTTCCATGACTTTCATAAAAAGATATAATGAGGTGACAAGGTGTTCATTGAACGATGATGTCCGCTTTCATGAATGAGTTACATTAAACTCTATAATGATTTAATTGAAAGTCAACCCCGGTAGAATTATTCAATATTAGTTCTTTAGTATGAGAAATCCTAGAAGGGATTAGCATGTTACGATGTATGACATTTCCAGTCAAATATTTATATTGAAGTACCTTGAAATTATGTCAAACTTTATTTAGTTAGTATAAATGATTAGAAGATATTTGAATTAATAGACCATTATAGACAAGGTTTTGAATCAAGAGTCTAGCTTAGGTATAAAGTTGATCGATGGTGTAGAATGACATGGTGGAAATTATAGATGATTTTGATTAAGTTTGATCAAGGGTGGAGATTTATTTAGATGCTTTGAGAAGGCTTGCATGCATCCAACTTGTTTGAAGAATTTGCATGGCTAAATTAGGAAGTGTCTCATAAATGTGTACCATGCAAAATATTAAGTGATAGTGATCCATGCATGCTTAAGATAATTTGATAAAATAATCAATTTGAAAAAGAGTCAAACTTTGTCAAAAGACCAATCAAGTGCTAGAAACCCTTTCTCTCTCTACTCTCCCACTCTCCCTCTCTTCCTTTTCTCTCTTGCCCCACGTCCCTTCCTTGCTTGTGGTCTGATTTTTCAGCCCATTTGGAGACAAAGCAAGTCTCAATTTTACCCCTCCAATGCCCCCATATATAAAGAATAAGATGCCATTAGAAAACCCTACCTCCCTCACTCATTTTTCTCTCTCACTCTCACTCCTCTAAGCTAGGAAAACCCTACTTAATCTCTCCCTCAGCCACGCCTCTTCACAGTCCAACTCTCCTTGATTTCACCCCTCAAGTCTCAAAGACATCCCTTCTAAGAAGCTTGAATGGAGTAGTCTACAAATTAGAGATACTAGCAAGGTAAGTGCTTAAGATCCAAGTCTTGTAGTTAATTGTCTCCTCCTTATTTGGGTGTAAACTAACCAGAGAGTGTTTAAAGGAGATCAAGAAGGTTTGGAGCTCAAAAGGAAAGGAGAACTCCAACCAAGAGAAGAAAGAGGTATAGATCTAAACTAGAAACCCTAGATCTAATTTTTCTTGAGGATATGTCTTATAGAAATGTGATTTTCATCTAAGTCTTGAACATGGAATGAAAATATATTTTTATGGCATGACAATACAGAGAATGAATTGCAAATAGGCTTTTGAATCATTTGACTTGAAGTTGTATTGATCTAGTTATGTTAGATTTAAGCTTAGGTTGCAGTCAACATTTTTTCTGACCAGCATGTAAAACGTCAGATCTTGTTTAAGTTGAGCTTCAAATCTGACCTTGATATTTTACGGGTAGCAGCTAGACATCATAAGCTTTCTAACGAGATATCATGGACCCTAATACGAGTTTTGTACAATTTATTATGAATTTTTGAATCCAGATAGAAACAGGGAATTTTTGCAGCAACCCGAGACTAAGTTGTCCAATAGGATGAGTTATGAATTGAATCTGGTAAAACTGTTTTAATGGTAGTTGATATGAAATCTAAGGACACTTGTGTTAAAATTTGAGAATAAATGGAGTAGAAACGAACCCGAAAATGTGATTTAGAGTTTAGAGGACCTTTACCGAAAAATTAAAAACAAAAATGGAGAGTTCAAAGTGCTAAGTTGCATTTGCTTAAGTTATGAATATTTAGGGGTTGTTTAGGATGTTTTTCCACCGTCCCAAATGAGAGAAAACCAAAGGATTAATCTCCTTATAAGTTAGTTACCCGGTATGAGGTCTAAAACTGTAAAAGTTGTAAAACCGGGACCATATTACAAATTAACAAACCTTAAGTGAAATGAGGGTTTTAGATCTCTGTGAAAATGCTTCTTAAACCCAAATAACATGTTTTGAGTGAGTTAGGACTTAGATTGGAGTCTGAAATCCAGTAGGCTCTTATAGGGGCAAAAGTGTATTTTTACCACCGTTAAGGGTAATAAAAAAATTCTACCATACCCACCGTATTTCTACAACTTAGATCTATATAAGAGTTGATTTTAAGATTAAATTTAAACTTAGAGGGTTTGAGTCCAAGCGGAATCGGAATTGGGCCTCTAAATGCCCAAATCAATAAAGTTCACTTAGTGTAGAAATGACAACACTAAAGTCTCAAAGATTGGGCCTAAGGCCCAATAATAATTTTAGAAAGACCAAAAGTTAAGAAAAAATCTTTATGGTTCCTTAAAGATGAACGGCTCTAATGTCAGCCCAAAAAGATGAACAGCTCCTTAAAATTTACGTCTATGATGAAGTAAGGTAATTAATTTATTTTGTAAATAAATAAATTAATTAACGAATCAAGAAAATATTTTTCTTAAAAGAAAAAAAAAGAAACTATTTGAATTCATTTTTTTTCTAAATAATTATTAAGTTAGGATTTAGTTGATTATTTTGAGCAACTAATTGTTATTTTAAGGAAATGAATTATTTATATAATTATTATTTAATTATCCACTTACAATTAATTAATAACGATTTGAAATAATTGATTTTTATATGTATTAGTTATTAATTAACAATTAATCATAAAGGTAATTTATAATTTAAGAACAGCAATTATTAATTAGTTAAGTATAATTAATTAATAGTTAATCACAGTTACATAATTATTTCTTCAATATTTTATTAAAATCTATGATTAATTAATTAATTAATTAATTAATTAATTAATCAATGAATTAATTAAATTGTTAAAAAGGTACAGATTAAGAGGTTAGATTTACTAAAGCTAGATAAAAGAGTAATTAAGCGGCCTTAAATAAATGGTCTATAAGAGTCAATTTAGTACCTTATTCTAATGAGGAAAGTACTGTGAATCAGGATAAATAATTGGCTAACGGTAGGCAAGGCAAGTGTGATTGCGGACTGATTGCACACGAAACAGGTGAGTACAAACCTCACCTACAGCATGAATGTGTTTTTGAAAATATGTTTGAAAAATTACCTTTTTGTATTGTGTAAATTTTCTATAGTATGAATGATGAGTATGATGCAATATATGTCCCTTTAAAGGAGTTATAATGTTATTCTTTTGTGACATGAATGATAAGTGTAATATGATGTTGCCTCTAAAAGTATTAGCAATGATATACTCTCGTGAGATGATCATAATCGCATGTTCACCTAAATAAGAGGCTAAGGTAATAAAGACAAGTTAAGTGTCATACCGCCCTCCGGCCCATGCGGATGAGAGGTTTTCCCCTGGCTCATGGGGATGGGAGGTTTAATAAGGATAAATTATGACCTTGGGTGTAGCTGGACGAAATGTTTGGATCGCCCCCCCACTCCCTATTGGTCACGCGCAAAGGGTACGAGCACAGGGCCCCAAGGTAATAAAATACATTTTGATAATTGAGCATAAAAGGTCATGCATATTTATATGATGTTTATCTATGCAAATATTTTGTGAGGATATTTGTACTTACTGGCCTTTAGCTCATTAAGTTGTTCATGTTGTAGGTAAATTGGGTAATTACCCGCAGCTTAAATACTATTGATGGGTTGTGTAACACCCTGAAGAATTAATTGAGATTAATTAAGGTAATTAAGATTATTAGTGTGCCTAATCTAGATTATTAATTGAGTATAAATTAATAAATGTTTCTCACACGAGTGAGTTTAAATAGCTCTAAGGTATTTAAATTATTCTCAGCAATTTATTTAAACTCAGAAGTGTGTATGAGCGCATTTCTAGACTGCTCTTTTAAAATATTGTACACATGTCTTTTTCTTTTCTTTTTCCTTTTCTTTTCTTTTCCTTTTCTTTTCTTTTCTTTCTTTCCTTTTCCTTCCCGTGCATCTCTCTCTCTCACTCTCTCTCTCTCTCTCTCCCGTGCATCTCTCTCTCTCTCTCTCTCTCTCTCTCTCTCGCGTGTCTCTCTCTCTCTCTCTCTCTCTCTCTCTCTCGCGTGTCTCTCTCTCTCTCTCTCTCTCTCTCTCTCTCGCGTGTCTCTCTCTCTCTCTCTCTCTCTCTCTCTCTCTCTCTCTCTCTCTCTCTCTCTCTCTCTCTCTCTCTCTCTCTCTCTCTCTCTCTCTCTCTCATTTTTGTCCCAAATCAAACGGATCTTGAACCAAGGAAAGATTTAAGAGATCTTGGGTTCTTTGGACTTGTTTTAGGACCTAGAACCCAGATCTAGTGATTTTCCTTTGAAATATCTAGATTTGAGACTGAGATTTGCAAGTTTTAGACTGGTTTCCGTGAGCTTCTCTCGCGCAGCTGATTCTACCGGTCGACCGGTGCGGTCGACCAGATCACATGGAAACCGGTCGACCGGATTGCAGGCTGACCGGTCAACCGGTCCGGTCGACCGGTGTGCACACTACCGGTTGACCGGTAGTGTTGCACTGCTCTGTCACCGGTCGACCGATTGACACGGGTTTGACCCTGTTTGGCCTGAAAATGCTGTTTTGACCCCTGTTTTCGGGGAGAACCCAAATTAGCTTCATTTAGGGACTTGAGATGAATGGATTAGCATCTTTAATCCTTGATTTGAGATTGAAAACCCTTGGGGTGATAATTTGCAACATGAAAATGGATTAGGGCACACTAATTTAAAATCTTGGTACATAATTGAGATTTAGATCGCTTTAGGAATGAGAATTGATCCTAAACTATTGTCTTGCATCAGTGATCGCTGAGGATTCAGACTGAAGGGCCTTGAGGAAGCGGAAGCCGGAAAAGGTAACGCTAGTCCCAGGTTTAATGGTGCGAGGTAGGATTTTTATCCCTTTTCTTTGTGAGCCTGTTTTCAAAAATGATTTTGGCCTTGAAAATGTTTTAAAGAAAGGGATTGGTTTGTGAAAGAAAAACGCTTTGAAAACCATGGCTTATTTAGTCATGGAACCTCATGGCTTGTCCAGTCATGGGGCCCGCGGCTTGAGTAGTTCGTGGAGTCATATTAACGATTTCAAAATGTTAATGAATGATTTCTTAAGCAAAGAGATCTTGTGAACTGGTAATAGAGTCTATTGCTGTAAGCCTAGATAGGATGTAGAGAGTGCATCCTCGGGGGCAGAACCCGAAACTCGGTCCGGGTAGGCGAGGCACTTGGTTAGGTAAGTAATTGTACTAATTACTTGCTGAAGCCTCTAATACGGTTATTTTCGGTTATATTTCCTTTGAGAAAAAAGATGTGAGGTTCCAGCTATTCTGTCGGGACTGAATGTCTTATTTTATTTACTTATTCATTTATGTGTTTTCTCGCGCACTTATTATTCATTTATTTATAACGTTTATTTCAAATTATATCCTACTGGGCCTTTCGCTCACATTTTATGTTTTAAATGTATTAAACCCCTCTCAAGAGATTCTAGGAGCGGTGCACAGTAGCTGGACAATTGCTACGGAGCAGCTGAGTTGTGCTGCTGTTGGAATCAAAAGAGGATCGTGGACATCCTCTCGGACAAATGTAAGGAATTTGAGGAATTCTGTAAACTTATGTAATATTTGGATTAACTAGACTGTGGTCGATGTCTGTTGTAATGATTATTTACATGAGCATGTATGTACGATACTGTATGTCCTGTGGGGTGGAGCCCTGTGTGTTAGAGGCTCCAGAATTCTGTAATTTATTTATATTTTAATGTAGTTGAGTGGGGCTCGTCTGGGAATCTACTTTATTAATCCCTAATCGAGCTCTACGTCACCCACCCCGTTTGAGGGGCGTGACAGGAGTGGTATCAGAGCCCTAGGTTAAGAAACCCCATGATTGTACATACATGTGTGACATCTATTATCCACTGAACAGTCTAGTTTTATTTCAGTTAAAGGAAATGGCGCCTCGCCATAGGCCCGCTAATCAACCGGCACAACAGAATCAGGGATTTCTGGATGCCATGTATGTTGCCTTTCAAGGCATGGCCACAAGAGCTCAAAACAAGCGGCCGGTTGAGGATAGGAAGCAAGGGTACTTCCGAAAATTTAGGCGTGCGCCTATCCCCTCGTTTAATAGTGAGGGAGGACCCTAGGAAGCAGAGTTCTGGTTAACTCCATAATCAAGCATTTGAGTACTATAGGAGTTCCAGATGAATACTGGGTGGAATTTGCTTTATACAAGATGGAGGGTTTAGCAAATACTTGGTGGAAACAGGTCAAGAGAAGAATAGATGTTACAGGACTGACCTGGGAGCAATTTGAGACACTGTTCAATGAGCAGTACTTCCCTCAGAGTTATAGGGAGGAAAAAGCGCTAGAATTCATGTCTCTGCTACAAGGTGACATGTCTGTAAGGGAGTATGAGGTCAAGTTTAATGACCTGTCCCAGTTCGCACCATCTTTGGTGGAATCTGAACAACTTAGATGTCTTAAGTTTGAGAAAGGCCTCAAGAACTCTGTGAGGAGACCATTGGTGGCTTTGAGAATCCGGAATTTCCAATATATGGTGGCTGCTACTACTAGGGTGAAGCAAGATAACATAGCTTATCACCAGAGTAAAGAACAAGTTGGAAGAGTTTCAGTTTCTGGGGGACCATCTGTTTCCGGCAGACCACAGCGGAGTGGTAGAAGGAACCGCAACCAGGGACAGCCTGGTGGGGGAGTGGTTAGCGGTGGCAGTAGTTCGTCAGGAAGTGACAGAAGTGCTCCATACAGGCCCAAGTGTCACCATTGTGGGCAGGTGGGTCCTATTAGGAGGAATTGTCCTAATCGGCCGCCGGCTCAACAAGCCCAAAGTGACGCTTCCTACAGTCAAGAAGGGCCACCACAGTATATGCCACCATATCAGTCACAACAGAAAAGAGCCCATACCCCCCTGTGCCGACTTATCAACCCCCTCCGTATACATAATTCTAGCCTCAAGTGCCGAGACCGGTAGAACCACCTCCACCACAACAGTATAGGCCTCCGACCCAACGGCCTAATGTTGGTGACAGAGGGAAAGGGAAAGTACATGGACAAGCTTATACCCTGGCAGGAGGCAGTTCGGGAGATCAGACCAGCAACGCGGTGGTTGAGGGTATGATCCTAATCTCTCATTCTTTTGCTCACGTGTTGTTTGATACAGGTGCCACACACTCATTTATATCAAGTTCTTTTGTACGGACCTTGAAACTGAAATCTGAGAATTTAGAAGTCCCGATGACTTTGAACTCTCCACTGGGATGTGCGGAGGTAATGAGTGTGTGTAAATCGTGTGAAATCATGATTGGCGGTGAGCGATTGAGAGCAGATTTGATTATCCTTCCGATGAGCCTGTTTGATGTGGTCCTCGAAATGGATTGGTTGTCAGAATACGGAGCAATTGTTGATTGTTACCGTAGGAGAATGACTTTGATGACTAAGTTTGGAACAGTGATTTCTTATCGGGCAGATATGAATCCAGTCCTAGGATAACGAATGTTGAAGTACAGTGTTGGGGGACGGAGGAATCTAGCATATTTTTCGTCTCTTCTTGCTCTAGAAGGTGAACCCGAGATAACTGGAGATAGTGCGGGAATCCCTGTAGTGGATGAGTTTACAGATGTATTTCCTGATGAGCTACCTAGTTTACCGCCAGATCAGGAGATTGAATTCTGTATTGATTTGGTTCCGGGAACGGCACCTATTTCCATTCCTCCATATCGGATGGCTTCGGCGGAGATGAAGGAATTGAGAACGCAGCTTGAGGAGCTGGCAGAAAAGGGATATATCCGGAATAGTACTTCCCCTTGGGGTGCACCGGTGCTATTTGTGAAGAAGCACGACGGATCTCTTCGGTTGTGCATTGACTATCGTCAATTAAATAGGGTAACTGTGAAGAACAAATACCCACTGCCGATGATCGATGAATTATTCGATCAGTTGGGTAGATCACAGTTCTACTCTAAGATTGACTTGAGGTCTGGGTACCACCAACTAAAAATCAAGGAGGAAGACATTCCGAAGACTGCTTTCAGAACTCGATATGGACACTTTGAGTTTCTTGTAATGCCTTTTGGGTTGACGAATGCCCCGGCTGCATTCACGGATCTAATGAACCGTGTTTTCCGGCCGTACTTGGATCGGTTCATGATCGTCTTCATTGACGACATACTGGTTTACTCGAAGACTTGGGAAGAACATGAGCAGCACTTGAGAATTGTTCTTCAGACTCTTCGAGAACACTAGTTGTATGCTAAGAAGGAGAAGTGTGACTTCTGGCTGACAGAAGTGATGTTCCTTGTACATGTGATTTCTGGACAGGAAATATCTGTAGATCCTTCCAAGATCGAGACTGTGCTACAGTGGGAAAGGCCGAAGAATGTATCGGAGATTCACAATTTTCTCATACTTGCAGGGTACTATCGGCGTTTCGTGAAAGACTTCTCGAGTATTGCTGCACCGCTGACTCGGTTGACTAAGAAAGAAGTCAGATTCCAGTGGGACGCTGAGTGTGAAAATGCTTTTCAGGAATTGAAGGTCAGACTAACAAGTGCACCAGTCTTGACTATTCCTGATAGTAAGGAACCATATGAGGTGTATTCTGACACCTAGGGAAGTGGGCTTGGCTATGTCTTAATGCAAGAGGGACGCGTGGTAGTGTACGCATCTCGCCAATTAAGACCACATGAACGGAATTACCCCACTCATGATTTGGAGCTGGCAGTAGTAGTATTTGCTCTGAATTATCTCTATAGAGCAAAGTTTCAGGTCTTCTCTGACCATAAAAGTGTAAAGTACTTGTTTACTCAGAAAGACTTAAATCTCAGGCAAAGGAGATGGGTGGAGTATATGGAAGATTACGACTTCACTCTGTAATATCATCCTGGAAAAGCTAATGTGGTGGCTGATACCCTTAGTAGGAATACGACGGGGACTCTGGCATCATTAGCTTTAGAAGATTGGAAAAGGACTGAAGTGGTGAGTGAGTATGATCTTCAGTTCTACGAAGATCATAACCGGGCCATGGCGTATAATCTGATCTCTACACCGAATATTGTGCAACAGGTTAAGCAGAATCAATGGTAGGATCCACACCTCCAAGGAATTTGGATTCGAATCCAGAATGGAGAGCAATTCAAGGATTGGAGAATCCGAGAGGATGGAGGCTTGTATTTCTGCAACCGCCTTGTTGTTCCAAAGGCAGGTGAGGTAAAGAAGACGATTCTGTAAAAGGCGCACAAATCGAGGTATGCTATTCATCCGAGAAGTACAAAGATGTACCAGGACCTGAAAAGACAGTACTGGTCGAGAGACATGAAAAGAGACGTTCGTGAGTATGTCTCGAAATGTGTGACTTACCTCCGGATTAAAGCTGAGCATCAGAAGCCGGCGGGAGAGTTGCAACCTCTTCATGTCCCTGGATGGAAATGGGAGCACATCACGATGAATTTTCTGATGGGGCTACCGAGAACCGAGCTGAAGCACGACGCCATCTGGGTGGTGGTGGATAGGTTGATGAAGTCCGTGCACTTCATACCCTTTCGTGCGACGTATTCTTGGAGGATTCTGTCAGAATTGTACCTGGAGCACATCGTGAGGCTACACGGAGTGCCATTGTCTATCACGTCAGATCGTGACACGCGTTTTAATGCAAGGTATTGGAAGAGTTTTCAGAAAGCCAGGGGAACGGACTTGAATTTCAGCAAAGCATTGCATCCTCAGACTGATGGGCAATCTGAAAGGGTAATTCAGATTCTGGAGGATATGCTTCGTGCTTGTATTCTGGAATTTGGTGGAAACTGGAAGAAATACATGCATCTAGCTGAGTTTGCTTACAACAACAGCTATCAGGCCAGTATTGGAATGGCACCGTTTGAAGCTCTGTATGGTCGTCCTTGTAGGTCACCTGTGTGTTGGTTGGAACCAGATGATCGACTGAGCACCGGACCGGAAGTCATTCAAGAGAATAATGAGAAGATAGCTGTGATTTGGGAACGATTATTGACAGCTCGAAGTTGTCAGAAAAGTTATGCTGCCAGAAGGCGTAGGCCTTTGGAATTCTAAGAATGCGACTTTGTCTTGCTGAAAGTTTCCCTACGCAAGGGAGTTGTTCGGTTTGGTGTGAAAGGGAAACTTGCACCAAGGTATGTGGGACCATTCCCGATCGTGTAACGAATCGGAGTGGTGGCTTATCGGTTGGCTTTACCGCCTGAACTATCTCACGTGCATGACGTGTTCCATGTCTCCATGCTTTAGAAATGTCAACCCGAGCCGGAAGCTGTAGTGTAGTGGTTTGACGTTCTGATACAGTATGACGCGTCATACGAGGAGGCACCAGTTCAGATTCTTGATCGAAAAATAAAGAGTCTGCGTCATCGTGAGATCCCGTTAGTGAAAGTGTTGTGGCAGCACTATGGAATTGAGGAAGCGACATGGGAGCTTGAAACGACGATGTAGGAGCAGTATCCGCATATGTTCACACTTTAAGGTAGGCTTTAATTTCGGGGACAAAATTGCCTAAGGGGGGTGGAGCTGTAACACCCTGAAGAATTAATTGAGATTAATTAAGGTAATTAATATTATTAGTGTGCCTAATCTGGATTATTAATTGAGTATAAATTAATAAATGTTTCTGACACGAGCGAGTTTAAATAGTTCCAAGGTATTTAAATTTTTCTCAGCAATTTATTTAAACCCAGAAGTGTGTATGAGCGCATTTCTGGACTGCTCTTTTAAAATATTGTACACATGTCTTTTTCTTTTCTTTTTCCTTTTCTTTCTTTTCCTTTTCTTTTCTTTTCTTTCTTTCCTTTTCCTTCCCGTGCATCTCTCTCTCTCACTCTCTCTATCCCGTGCATCTCTCTCTCTCTTTTTCTCTCTCATTTTTGTCCCAAATCAAACGGATCTTGAACTAAGAAAAGATTTAAAGAAGTTTTCAATGTCAAGAGAAGGATTCGAGGTAAGATTACTGAAAGAACCTCTCTTGAATCTCAAGTTTTTAAATTTCAAAACTTATTTTTGGTTCAAACCGGATTTTGATAATTTTTTAGTAAAACTAGGGTAGAAATTGGAGATCTTAGGTTCTTTGGACTTGTTTTAAGACCTAGAACCCAGATCTAGTGATTTTCCTTGGGACTGAAATTTGCAGGTTTTGGACTGGTTTCTGCGAGCTTCTCTCGTGCAGCTGATTCTACCGGTCGACCGGATCACATGGAAACCGGTCGACCTATGCAGTCGACCGGATTGCAGGCTGACTGGTCAACCGGTGTGCACACTACCGGTCGACCGGTAGTGTTGCACTACTCTGTCACTGGTTGACACGGGTTTGACCCTGTTTGGCCTGAAAATGCTGTTTTGACCACTATTTTCGGGGAAAACCCAAATTAGCTTCATTTGGGAACTTGAGATGAATGGATTAGCATCTTTAATCCTTAATTTGAGATTAAAAACCCTTAGGGTGATAATTTGAAACATGAAAATGGATTAGGGCACACTAATTGAAAATCTTGGTACATAATTGAGATTTGGATCGCTTTAGGAATGAGAATTGATCCTAAAGTGTTGTCTTGCATCAGTGATCGCTGAGGATTCAGACTGAAGAGGCTTGAGGAAGCGGAAGTCGGAAAAGGCAACGCTAGTCCCAGGTTTGATCGTGTGAGGTAGGATTTCTATCCCTTCTCATTGTGAGCCTATTTTCAAAAATGATTTTGGCCTTGAAAATGTTTTAAAGAAAGGGATTTTTTTGTGAAAGAAAAACGCTTTGAAAACCATGGCTTGTTTAGTCATGGAACCTCATGACTTGTCCAGTCATGGAGCCCGCGGCTTGAGTAGTTCGTGGGGTCATATTAACGATTTCAAAATGTTAATGAATGATTTCTTAAGCAAAGAGATCTTGTGAACTGGTAATAGAGTCTATTGCTGTAAGCCTAGATAGGATGCGGAGAGTGCATCCTCGGGGACAGAACCCGAAACTCGGTCCGGGTAGGCGAGGCACTTGGTTAGGTAAGTAATTGTACTAATTACTTGCTGAAGCCTGTAATACGGTTATTTTCGGTTATATTTCCTTTGAGAAAAAAGATGTGAGGTTCCAGCTGTTCTGTCAGGACTGAATGTCTTATTTTATTTACTTATTCATTTATGTATTTCCTCGCACACTTATTATTCATTTATTTATAACGTTTATTTCAAATTATATCCTACTGGGCCTTTCGCTCGCGTTTTATGTTTTAAATGTATTAAACCCCTCTCAGGAGATTCTAGGAGCGGTGCACAGTAGCTGGATAATTGCTACGGAGCAGCTGAGTTGTGGTGCTGTTGGAATCAAGAGAGGATCGTGGACATCCTCTTGGATAAATGTAAGGAATTTGAGGAATTCTGTAAACTTATGTAATATTTGAATTAACTAGACTATGGTCGATGTCTGTTGTAATGATTATTTACA